CTGCGACAATGACAGACTGAAGCTTGTTTAGAGAACAGAGTCATCTAACAAACTTTGTGCTTGGCAGCCTTAGGAAGCTGTTTTCACATTCACACACAAACAACACAAACAGATTTCAGCTCGAGGCCAACTCAATATGATTACTGGCTGCTGAGAGGGTCTGTATTTATTTGTTGACAATGGCCTGCAAAAGCCCAGTTGAATTGTCATGGGACGTTTTTTATGTGTGGCGTGGTTTAATTCCAGTCTTTGGGTGAGCCAATTTGATTTATAGATAATGGAGAGTGAGAGGTTTTTTGGAAAGGAAGAAGAATGCAAAGGATGTTTAGTGTAAAGACCTTATAGGTCCCATTTGCAGAGATTTTTTTGCGTATGCTGTTTCTTCTGTATGTCTAGCCGATCTATTGGACTGACCTCAGCGGGCCAAGTTATTAGAAAATTCATGCCTGTGCGGCCACGAAACCTACAAAATTCATAGTATAGAACTGCTATTTTAAATTCTAATGGAGATCCAAAAATGCTTTCCAAAGATACCAGATATGTGAAACTTTGACGAGGTTTTGGGGGAAATGGTTGTATAAAATGATCCTCAAATAAACTGTTTCAGTCAAGAACCCTCACAATAGATGCACATTAGACCACAGACCTTCAGTCTGAGAAGATTTTGTTCTTAAGAAATCCCATTTTTTAAGTCTTCGCAGTCAAATCAGTGGATCAAACTGGGGATCACTATAAATTACAATCAATAAAAAAGAGGCCAACATATGTCTTAATTTGCTGCTTCCAACTTCCAAAAATGTATGCTAAAACGTTAAAATATTCCTCCTCCTTTTGCTGTGCGACCCCCTAACAACCCTCAAGGACCCCCGGTTTGAGTTCCCGGAGATCTCGAATATTTCCTAGATATTTGTGGGATGGAGTGGCCAGCGAGTTATAAAGCGAAAGTCTCTGGCATTAAATATTTCAGCTTTACAAAGCCTCAAACGAAGAATGGAACAAGCCGATAACAGAAGATAAATGGATACAGCGAGCAATGAGATTAACTGTTTTAAACCTTTAAGGCTGGCCCGAATGAATTTTTTTTTTTTTTTTTGCCACCAATGTGGCATGAATAGTGTTAATTTAATTCAGGTTCAAAAATGAGCAAAAACAACATGAACGCCTGGCTTACTGATTACTGAACAGTCAAAAACCTCAAAATAAAAAAAAAAAAAAAAAAAAATATAATTAAAAGGCCAGCAATCCTCATATCTGGAAGCTTGGAACCATGAAATGACAATTATCAAAATATTATCTGCTCCAGTTAATTGCCTGCTTGGAATTGATTAATTTATTTCAGTTCTGGTTGGGTAAGTTCAGAAAACAAAACGATACTATTTTTTAAGCTATTCATGTGTTTTGTGTGTAAAAAAAATCGTTGATTTTATAAAGCTAACTAAAGCATGTCATGATAAATGGTAAAATTTTCTGATACCGGAAATTGTCTTATCGGGCTGATACTGATGATATGGTTTTCCCGATCCGTAGGACAGGTCATGGGTTATCTTGGGGGGTGGAAAAAAAAGCAGAATACAGTGGCTGTTGGGCTAATAATTACATACCCCATTGACAGTATATATAAGGTGGTACCTGATACATGGCTACCACATTTTAAGCAGTATTAAAGGAAGTTGCATCAAAAAGCAAAAATATACAAGTACCTCAAATCTGTACTTACAATACTTAATAAAATGTACTTAATTA